CGCAGGGTCGCTGGAGTCTATCCCAGCCGACTTAGGGCGAAGGCAGGGGACACCCTGGACAGGTCGCCAGTCCATTGCAGGGCCACACTTAAATCTGACTTTATGTCTAATAAATAATAAACTTTAATATCTAATGTGAATCGAATAATTCTCACTGTGAAATGGAAAACTGTTTTCGTATGGTTCACGAACCGTAAGACGATTGTCAGTGTTTTGGAGAAATTGTGCGTATTTTTGTCCACAGATTTATTTCGACTTGTGTCAGTGATACAGCGCGACTGGGAAACCTGCACATTCCTGCCCTCTGGTGGCCACAGTGCGCAACTACACAAGTCGACGACATGTCTACTCTAAATGCATCAAACGGAAATGTAACTGTGATATAACGTTTAACTTTACTAGTGCAGTTCACTTCATCAGATATCACCATGAAATTGTACCAGCTGATGAATTAAAAAACTTTTTTTTTTTTGCACAAGTTCTCTGAAATCTAATGTTTAAATATACAAATTACTTATTATATATCTAAAAATGCCCTTAATATTTAATAATTTCCAGAATAGAAATGGAATGTAAAAACTGGATGAAGGCAGTTCTAAAATTCTTGTTTGGTTTTGTTCACATGTTAGAGTCAGAGGTCAATGGGGACTTATTTTCACAATGCTTTCTTGGAATAAAATGTTCTCTAAATCAGATAATGAATGATACAAAAACAAACCCCTCTGTAGAATCCTTCAGATATAAATAGGAATAAAACTGGGAAGTTCGGACTTTGATTCTGTCTCAATTTATAAAACAAAAAGGATATATAGACCCTAAAATTTAATGTATCTTAACTGGAAAACACTAGGTAAAACAGAGTAAAACAATAAAAAATAAAAGTCTAACTAACAATTATGATGATAAAACTTCCGAGAACAATTATTTACACATTGTCTTAATGACAAATATTCAGAAATTTGCTTTGGATGTTTTCTTGATTAAAGAAGACATGTCATTGAAGAAAAATATTGAAAAATT